CGTACAAGGCCACAGTTATGCTTTCAAGCAGCCACTATGTAGCAGTTTTTAGGGGAGCAGCTGGACTCAGTGTGGCAGCTAGCACGGCAAAGGAACAGGCTGGGGCATGAGTCTGTGGGCAGGAGAGGGGGGACCTGGGCATGGCAGCAGAGCAGGGTAGAGGATCATGTGGCACCCATGTGTTCGATACTCTCCAAATTGCTGCGAGTGTGCAACTTTCCCTTACCACAAGAGTGGGTGGATGGGACGCAGGGACTCGAGCCATCCTTCACTGGGGATGAGCAAACAGGGGTTTACTGCAGAGGCATCAGCTAATATAATCCACGGCAACCTGGATGAAGCTATCAGTCTCCTTATACAGAGTGAGAGAGAACAAATGCTGACTGAACGTAGGCAGAAACCTGGACCTTACACTGCAATCCTTTGTTACTGTTGGCTTGGCATGGAAAGGAGTCCTACCATGGAGGATGGAATAAGGCAAAGCCCTCCACCCAGAAACCTTGTGAGAAGGATCAAAGAGTTTCTCTAAGAAGCTTTCATAGAGGTATCTAGACACATTAACAAGCTATTCTATTCCATGGACCCCTTACTGTGGAGGAATGGTGGCCACAAAATCTCTCACTAAACTGCATCAACCCACTTTTAGCAAAATAAAAAATGTGAACTCACCAGAAGTGCCCTTCCTGGGATCAGTGCCCAACAAACATCCTGGGAGGAGGGAATTGTCTCCAAAGCTATAACAAGATCTTGGCAACATCAGCTGCCCTCCTTGCCTGATGGCCATTCTCCTCCTCCACCATGCTGCTGCCTGAGAGTCTTGGGAGGAATCCACGAACTTCCTAGAAAAGCTGGTTGTATTCTCTCCCTCTACCTCCCCCACTCCCCATGAAAGGATTGCACGCAGCTGCTTATAGAACTGGCATGTTTATGATGAAGCTCCAGACCATCTATTTACCTCCTTTGGTATGACTACCTCAGCTATCTTATTGTCACTCAGCACTGCTGGACATCCCTGATGTATCCTTTCCTTTCCATGCCCTTTGAAATTTTGGCATAGATATCTGGTTGGTTTTTTGCTGGTTTGTAGTTCTGTGAGAACAGACTCCTCTCGCCACACAGCAACAAGGTCCAAGATCTCCTGTATGCTGCATGCTGGTGCTCTTCTGCGATCCTGGGAACTGGAGCTCATGGAACTTGAACTCACAATCAGGTGTGCTGCTTGCTCTGAGGTCTGCTTGCCATGCTGACCACACAGGAAATGAAATTCAAATTTTTCCAGGACTTTTTCTGTTCACCTGGAGAGCAGTAGAGTTGAAAGTTGTGGTCAGAGTAGTCACCGCAGGGCACTGCGGGACACCTTCTTGAGGCCAAGAATGTCAACTTTCACAGTGCTGCATCTGCACTACCAGAAAGTCGACGATACAAGAATGAATTTAGAAGTTACTCCTTGTAAAAGCAGGAGTACAGAAATAGATTTTAATAGCCCTTAAAGTTGATGTAATAGCCTTGGTAGCGCAGACTCATTGTTTAGAAAAATCAACCTAATGTAACTAAGTTTGACCTAAACTCCCAGTGTAGACCAGAACTGAGTTTATAGAGCTAAAACAACTGAAAACAGAGTCTTTTAAGGAACAGTGTGGCGCAATGATAATTTTAAGGGTAACTACAGGTGATATAGTAACACTTAAGATTCTGATAAAAATATTATTTTCCAATTGTAAACTAACATTTTAAAGTTATTTATAAGCATATTCGATTGCAGAAGTTGGATTTCATGCAAGCTTACGTTATGATTTTTCCCTCTTTCTTCCATTTACTTTAGATTAACGATTGTAATGTGTGTACTGCGTGCCCACATGCCAATTGGCATTCAGCTGTTGAGCACTCTACTGAGTTTGAGAAGGAACTGTGTGTGACCACAGCTCCAAGAGGCTGTAGCAATCCAATGGAATTTTGCAATAGTAATCCAGAAGAATTTTGCTTCACTTCTAAACCTTCTAGAACTCCATATGCTGTGAGTTCACGTAAATAACTTTATTGCCAACAAGTTTAATTTATACAGAAAGTCCTCTACCCTTGCTTTTGTTTTCATTTCACAAGATCCAGTTGTCCAACCTGCATACCTCAAAATGTTCTGAATGAGGAAAAGAACTTACTTACATATATTGACCTCAATAGAGTCAACTATGTACCACTCAAGTTCTCCAAACCAGTAGTTGCAAAGTCTTAGCCAAGCCTTTGGAGTTTATTTTTTAAAAAAATGACCTTTTGTGTGCAATTTTTATTGTATTTCTAATAATGATTTTTGTTAAAACAAATTAAAGCTTCTTCCTTAATAAGTATTAGTGTCTCTTTTCTTGATTAGTAAAGAACAAGTCCACCTTTTCTGTACACTAAAGAATTAAGTAAAATGGGAGAATATTTATCTTGTACTAATGAGGTTCTTAACTATACTGTTGATGATCTCTAGCGGTATAAATTCTGAGCTCTGCATCAGAATTCTTTGTTATATATTTTCTTTTCCTGTTGGATAAATTTTATTTAAGAACCACCTATATACTAACTCACTGAACTGTTTTCAACCTACTAGACTTCTTTAAAGTTATTTTAGTTATAGGCACAGTGATGTCAAATAAAAAGGTTCTTCTCAGAAGCTCTTGAATCATTCTTCCAACCTTCCTTTAAAAAAATCTTAAGTCATCTTCATACAGAGTAAACTATAAGACTCCATTTTGGCTCCTATATTGACACTACAGCTCTACAAAGCCAGAAAAGGCTATCTATGTAGTAGGGGCTGTACACTTTATCAGGAGTACAGCACATTTCCAACTCAGTGTGATTATGAAATTACCTATGTCATGTTCATCATTTTTGGCTCATTGATCATTAATTAATTTTTTTTAAAGTTTAAAAGAATACATCTATAAAAATGTTTAATGACTTGGGCTGATTATATATTTTTATTAGGAGTAAAACAGATGTAGAAACAATTTTTAAAAGAACACTAGTGTCAGGCTAAATTACAAGTTTCTAAAGTACAGTAAACTTCCGATAATCCGGCACCTTTAGGACCCAGGGGGTGCCAGATTATCAGATATGCCAGACTATCAGAAGGGGGGGCTATGAGAGGTCTGAGGTGGGGTGGGGGGATGCTACCCCAGACCCCCTCATAGCCCTCCCTTCTGATAGTCCGGCTCTGCCCCAGGAGTCCCCGATTCAGCCGCTGCTGGTCAGTTTCAGCAGCGGCTGAATCGGAGACGCCTGCAGCAGAGCAGCTGGGGTGCTGCCGGATTGGTGCAGTAGCGCCGACCCTTGGCGCAGCGAGACCAACCCATCAGCACCCCAGCTGCTCTTGGGGCAGCCTGGGGCAGAGAGGCAGAGCTGCTCTGCCCTGGGCTTCCTGGAGTCAGCCCTGGTCAGTTTCAGCAGCAGCTGAATCAGGACGTCTGGGGCAGAGCAGCTGGGGCGCTGCTGGGGTGGTCTGGTAGCGCCAACCCTTGGCACTGTGAGACCAACCCAGCAGCACCCCAGATGCTCTGTCCCAGGTGTACCCAAGTCAGCTGCTGCTTAAACTGACCAGCGGCTGATTCCAGGAAGCTGGGGCAGAGCAGCTCTGTCTCAGGCTTCCTGGAGTCAGCCGCTGATCAATTTCAGCAGCGGCTGAATCCGGGACAGCTGAGGTGCTGCTGGGTTGGTCCCGCAGCCCCGAGGGGACCTACCTGGCAGCACTCCAGCTGTTCTGCCCCCTGCTTCCCGGATTCAGCGCTGGTCAGTTTTAGCAGCGGCTGAATCAGGAAGCTGAGGGCAGAGCAGCTCCAATGGTCCGGCTGCCCGGAGCACTTCCGGGTTCCTGATGGTGCCAGATCATCAGGAGTGCTGGACCGTCAGATGCCAGACCATCAGAATTTTACTGTACATTGCTTGTATTCCAGTGTTTCTAACACACACACACACACACACACACACACCTACCTTTCACTAGAAAATGACTGAAAAAAGGCACTCTCCAAAATAATCTCGTTAAATAATAAAAATAACCAAGATTTTTATAGAGCATGTTTTTCTCTTTCACACATTAGTCAATACTTCCAGTAAACCTCAAACAAAATAAAAAATTGAACATGAAGTTAAAATGTTTATGAGCACATAAAATTGAACAAAATGATACTTAGCTGCATGCATTAGTTCCAGGCTTAAGACAACGACAGCTTACTCTTCAAGGTACTCACAATTGTGAGTGATCATAAAGGAAGAAAATAGTACTGTTTAGTGTAAAAACTTGCAGTGCAGCAAAAAATTAGCTATGTACCTTTATAGTTCTCCTCACTGTAGTGCTTAAGCATCCCACAAATGGGAGGAAAAAAAACATTCCCACCCTATCCTCTCTACTATCTTTAGGAAAACCTCAAAAGGTAATAAATGTGTGTGGATGTGCACACACCCTTTAGTCAGTATGTATTCCATATGGGAGAAGCTGTGGAGGGGAAGGAAAGAAGTGGAGGCCTTGAAATGTATTGGTCTAAAGATATATTTAAATACAGACAAAAGGTTCTCAACAACATAAAATTCCAGGTTTGGGTTACAAGTAGGGATGTAAAATCCCATTTAAAATGTTAACTGGTTAAACTGTGTGTTTAACCAGCCTGCCGCATCATGCGCAAGTGCCACTGGAGCAGCCCCTACCCCTGGGGCAGGGCCCGCCACACCACACTAAAGCAGCCCTCCACACGCAGGGCAAGGCCTGCCACATCGCATTGAAACAGCCCTCTACCCCTGGTAGAAGGCCCACAGCACTGCACTGGAGCAGTGTGGCACAGGCCTCCCCAACCCAGCATCACCAACAGGGACTGCTCCAGGTGCTGGTTAATTAGTTATTCCAGTAACTGATTCCAGTAAAGCAATGCTTACCGGGAAACTGGTTACCCCATTACATACCTAGTTACAAGCTATACTACTACGTACAAGTAGAAAGCATGGTTTATCCCACAGAAAGTTTGTACCTTAATCTGCTGTCTTCTGAGCATTGCAAGTTCCCTCATATCTCGGAACGGCTGTAACAGATATTGATAGAGTTCTGTAGTAGCTTCAGCAAGACTACTGTAGGCTTCATCTTCCATTTGATAAAGTTCAAGCAGCTCTACCATGCTTTCTGTATTCTTGTGTTTTTCCAACAGCTATATAAAAAGAAGAAAAATATTGTTTCAGAAAGTATGCTCAACATTTCTTGCTAACAAATCTGATAGCGATTTACAATGGCCAGTCACCTCCTTAGCCTCCACCCTTTCCCAAAAAATCCATTAAACATGAAAAGTTTCCAGAAAGGAACTAAACCAGTCAAGTCCTTTGATAACCTTAACTCTGGATAGTCAGCATATTCCCAGTCACAGCTTTCCAAGAGCTTCCTGAGGCTCATTGGTATTAAGGACATAGCCATAAGGGGAGATAGGAAGATGAAATCTGATTTACTTTTCACCAGTTATGACATTTACTAATTGCATATCAGACCATATAGACAAAATAAGAGAGAAAAGTCAGGTTTTGGTTTTTCTATTCGTTATTTTTTAATACCACAGTTAAGAGATGCATCACAGAAAACACAAGACAAGTACATTACCACCAGGGAAATACAATCCAAATCCATGCCTTTTGAGCTGCTCCTTCTAAGTGCACCTAGGGGCCTAACGAGTTCCACATAGGTGAAAAGGTTTGTCTGCGTAGTGCAGTTTAGCAGGATAATGGCCTACATTACCTTTCTATTTTACTATCTGGTTCATGTGCGTTAGCACATTGTATTACCTAGGTTACAAATGAAACAAACATCATCTTAAGAATTGCTCCCAACATCAGAAGGGAACACCAATAGAAATGTAGCCGTGTTAGTCTGATCTAGCTGAACCAAAAAACAGGACTATGTAGCACTTTAAAGACTAACAAGATGGTTTATTAGGTGATGAGCTTTCGTGGGCCAGACCCACTTCCTCAGATCAAATAGTGGAAGAAAATTGGCATGACCTTTGCAAGTCACGTCAATTTTCTTCCACTATTTGATCTGAGGAAGTGGGTCTGGCCCACGAAAGCTCATCACCTAATAAACCATCTTGTTAGTCTTTAAAGTGCTACATAGTCCTGTTTTTTGTTTCAAGGGAACACCAGTTCATCTTGTCCAGTGTTTCTCAACCAGTAGTATGAGTACCCTTAGAGGTACTTGAGAGAAGTCTGGGGAATACGTCAGCACAACTGAAATTTGGAGAAAACTGAAGTTTTGTTTTAAGTTTTACATTGCTTTATTATTTTTGCACTTTTTACACCCAAAAATGTCATCACCTGCCCAGCTACGATTAAGTTGTGTAAACAAATATGTTGCAATGGTAGAAAAAAATTGTACGTGTGTCTAAAAACTATAGGTACTGGGGGTACTTATTTGTTTTTAAAGGGGGTACTTTTTTTTAAAGGGGTAATTTATTTTAAAAAAAGGATGAGAAACACTAATCTTACAACCACTTACATATCACAGACTACCTGCACCACCCAGCATACACAAAATAAACCTAATAACTGAAATGAAACCAAAGTATTGCTGCGCACTAGAGAGGAGACTAACATGTACAAAGAGAGAGAACCAAGATGCAAACACCAAAGGCCCAGTCATGGCTCCTTCCCCACTCTGGCACAATAAATGCAGAAGTGGGGGCCAAAAAAGTACCCCAAAACCTTCTCTCATAGACTCATAGACTTTAAGGTCAGAAGGGACCATTATGATCATCTAGTCTGACCCCCTGCACAGTGCAGGCCACAGAATCTTACCCACCCCTCCTAGAATAATCCTCTCTCCTATATCTCAGATATTGAAGCCTTCATATACTTGGAAGATCTCTGCATCTTGGGGTCTTCAAGCTGTGATCTGTACCCCATGTTACAGAGGAAGGCGAAAAACCTCGAGGGCCTCTGCCAATCTACCCTAGAGGAAAATTCCTTCCCGACCCCAAATATGGCGATCAGCTAAACCCTGAGCATGTGGGCAAGACTCACCAGCCAGACACCCAGAAAGTTCTCTATATTAACTCCTATCATCCCTCCATTGACCTATTTCCCACTGGTCTTTGGTATAAAACTTCCCCCAAAATCTGCCACCATTCAAACATTAATAAAGCATCCAGGGAGAGACTACTTGGGAAATCTCACCCCTAAAGTACAAACCAGGACACAAAAATTAACCAATACCAGGTTAATAAAAAGAAAAGAGAAAGAACTTTTATTATCACCACAATATTCCTGTTGCAAGCATTATGACTGGATGGAACAGTAACAAAATAATACTAATGGAGGAGAAATTTACCATGGGCCAGGAACTTAGTTACAAAGGAAAGCAAAACCCATTTTTAAATGTACAGACCAGATCCCATTTCCCAAACAATAAAACCTAACGGATTTATCTAAACTTCATCCTATTTACAGACTGTGAAGAGTATTTTTTTTAGAGGGAGACATTCTGTCCCTTTCAATAGCTGGAGAGAAGCTCCCCGAACAAAAGAGGGAAAAAACCCAAAATTTCTTTGTCCCAGTTTGAAATTCCTACCTACATTCCTATTGGCTGAATCTACCTGGTTAAGTAAGGGACATAGTTAATCCTTTAGTCCCCAGGCTGCTGGCTAACCCTCACGATCATGACAGGTCCCATCAATGGCATGGACTAGTGATGTAAAATTCTGTTTAACCGGTTAACTGGTTGAACATATTGTTTAACCAGTTAACTGGTTGAACATATTGTTTAACCAGTTAACTGATTCAAGGGGAAGGGTCGGGGAAGGGTCAGGCTCAGGCTCACTATGAACAAAGGCAGCACCTGCCTGGTGTAGACCCCCTATGGTACTGGAGCAGCCCCCTGCCTGCAACAAATGGGAAGCTGCTCCAGCCCCCACAGGTTAACAAGTTAAACATTCACATCCCTAGCAAGGATAGGGCTATCCTTCTCAATCACAGAACATGCAGCTGCATAGGGCACCCAAAAATTTGGGGTGCCACAGGATGTCCACCCATCTTCCAATTCCCATCTCTGTTCTGTGGCCCTGCTTCCTCTGGAGAGGATCTAGTAAACTTAGTGAAAAAGCCTGCCAGACTTATTAGCAGAACATTGACCCTGTGACAGGGCCATTCAAGTGGCAATGAAGCAATTTAACAGGCATTTGCCAGCTCCAGGTACATAATGTCAGTTTCTGAATTTACTGTGTCAGTGGACAGGATCTTAGTTTAAAATTTGCTTTAAAGATATTTCATTAATGTGTTGATGCAGATTATAAAATCACATCTCTTAAAAAAAAAATTCATCTTCCCCTGCAATGACATTGGGCATAGGGGCACCAGTTTAATAGTACTGAATAGGGCCCCATAAATTCTAAGGATGTCCCTGGACAGAGATGATTATGTGAGAGATTCAGAAGATCCTGGTAAATGACCTGCACTTCCATGCTGCAGAAGAAGGTTAAATAAAATCCAAGGTTTCCATAAAGTTTTCATTAAAATTAAAAAAATGTTGTGAATGTGTTGTAAACTTTGTACAAGCCCTAAATTTGAGGCCTTAAAAAACAAACACACAACAAAAAAAAGTACAACCTAAAACTCTTTCCTCGTGAAACTGACCACTTGTACAAGTGTTTCTTCTCTAGTCAAGAACCGCTGGGAGTAGGCATGTTAAAAAGTGGGTAACTGTGTAACCACTGAGACTTTCATGCACTCATAGTGTATCTGTATCAGAAGCAGCAGTGCAATGAAGCAGCAGGATCCTGTACACACCAAGAGCCAGCTTAAAAGCCAGCTTCAGGCTGTCGACCCACACTGCAGGTACGTGTAACCAGGCTCATTGGTTTAATTGATTAAGCAGTTAAACATTATGTTTAACCAGTTAACCGATTAAAAGGGGCATGTACAGGCGACTGCTGCAGCCCCGTTACTCCCCACCATAGGCAGTCCAGGCCTGCCACAAGGCTAGAGCAGCCAGACGAATACCTAGAAACCATCTACTTCAAGACAGACCCAAGAAAACCAACAATAGAACACCACTTGTCATCACCTACAACCCCCAACTTAAACCTGTCCAACACATTATCAATAAACTACAGCCTATATTGGAACAGGATACCATACTCAAAGAGGCTCTGGGAGACAGACCCATAGTCTCCTACAGACAACCACCTAACCTCAAGATCATTCTTACCAACCACCACAGGACATACCACACTAATACCAACCCTGGTACCTTCCCTTGCAACAAACCCCGTTGCCAGCTTTGTCCACATATTCATTCTGCTGATACCATTATTGGACCTAACCAAGTAAGTTATAAGATCAAGAACACATATTCCTGCGCATCCAGAAATATAATCTATGCTATCATGTGCCGAAAGTGTCCGTCTGCTATGTACATTGGACAAACATCTCAGACACTTCGCCAAAGGATTAATGCCCACAAAACAGATATCAGACAAGATCACAAAGAGAAAACAGTTTCTTGCCACTTTAACCAGAAAGGACACTCTCTAAATGACTTAGCCACCTGCATTCTGCTACAAAGACCTTTTACATCTGCACTTGAAAGGGAATCCTCTGAACTGTCATTCATGTTAAAATTCGACACTTACCAACAAGGACTTAACAAGTCTTTGAACTTTCTCACCCATTACCAAGACAGTTTCCCCAATTATCACCTGTAATACCATTAACTCACAAACATCCCACTCTCCCTACCTTTAATATCAGCAATTCACAGACACTTACCTTCCTTCCTCCCCCTTCCCACCCCCCCGCATCCCCCTTCTGTTCTGCAATGTGATTTGTCCTTTTCATATTTGTTCATTTTTTTAAATTGTATCCTTTGGTATATATGGTTGTGACTACTTTCTTCCACTATTTGATCTGAGGAAGTGGGTCTGGCCCACGAAAGCTCATCATCTAATAAACCATCTTGTTAGAACTGGAAGAGACCTCAGAAGGTCATCAAGTCCAGCCCCCTGCTCTAGGCAGGGCCAATTCTTGAAGAACAACAGTTACAGGTAAGTAACCCTTCTTTTCTTCTTCAAGTGATTGCTCATGTCCATTTGAATCAGGTGACTTCCAAGCCCACCCCACTCCACGGAGGAGGGGTCGGAGCACCCAGAAAGAGAAGTCCAGGAAAGCTGAA